CTACATAATCCCAGTTTCCCTTTCATTTTCCATTTCTTTTCCATTTGATTCTCCATTATTAAGGGGGATACTCCTACCACATGTACATGATAGCCAAAGCCTTAGTGCCATGGTTGCTGAGTGAAGAGCTGGTGTTGTGGATGTCGCGATGGCACCATGCATGGCTTGCAGGAACTAGGTTTATCACAAGCATGATAAGTTCCAGGTCTTCATGTGCACCTCGGAAGCAAGGTCATGTGCAGCCTCCTCAGACATACACTTTCAGCTTTAGATGTTTAAGTCTACTCTTGCCAACCCGGCTCCAAAGTCTAGAAACCCTGGAGCTCCATGTCTATTAATTGTCCGCACATTGGGGCCCCAAAGTCTATGATACATAGTACCTACATTGGGCTACTTGGAGCCCTAGGGAAAGAAGGCACAAACAATTTCAGTTTGATTTCACGGCTTCTGCAGCCTTGCCGCCATGGCTGGAGAAACTGAGGCAGCCTTCAAGCACAGTTTGCACAGTAAGGGGGGTTTAGGGTTGGAGGGTTTAAAGCTAAAAGATTGTGGGGGTTGGGGGATGCCCTAGACCTTTAATCACAAACCCCCAGCAGGTATGAACACGTTGGGCTTACAGGACTTTGGCGTTGAGTTTGAAGGTCGAACCCATTCAGACCCCTCCCTAAACACTACACCCCTCAAACCCTAAGCCTAAACCCCCCAAGCCTTAAACCCTAAACCCTAAGCCCTAAACTGTCCAGTCTTTTAGACTCTGACCTGAGAAAGGAAAAGAAAGTAACATCGCCGCACAGACCAAAACACAATAAAACCTAACCCGACTCTGAAACCCTAGTAATAATAGCAATAACAATAATACCAATAAAAAGTTTAGGGTTCAGGGTTTAGGGCTTAGGGTTTAGGGTTTAGGGTTTAGGGTTCTAGCACGACTATTGATAAGGATAATAATAGTAGCAGCGCAAAAACCGAAGCAGTGGAAGGTTACAGGTATCCCCTGTCCAGATCCCATGCCCCGAAACAGGGATAAAGGATGGATCTTTCCCGTATAGCACCACTATGTTGTACTATAGGGGATATGAAGGTAGGTATTGGGGTCTAGGTGGATCCCCCACGCTGTAATCGTGCTTATAAGGGATAATACGGATCATATCAGGGTCCTCTTACATTCCCATTATACTACTATTACAGGGTGGGGCGGGTCCTCCTCCTAACTGTAATACTTTCCGACATATTTATGTAACTTGTGTTATTTTGGGTTGAGGGGGGGACGCGGACGTTGATATTCGTAGGAGGTCATCACAAAAGACCCTACACCTTGAATCCTTTAAATCCCGTAGCTCCCAAATTACCGAACCAAAAGCCCCAAAACCCTGAGTCCCCCAACCTAAAACCCTAAACCCTAACTCCCAAACCAGAAACCCGAAACCAGAAACCTTTAACCCCAATCCCTAAACCTTAATCCCTCAACCCTAAACCCTCGTCCTATATGATTATCATGTTCCACAAGCCCTAGACCCTAACAAACCAGAAGCCCTAAACCGTCTTGGAAAGGCGGCTGTGGTTGGCAAGGATGCAGCTGAAGGAGAGTTCGAGGTACCCAGACTGCCCAGGGAACAGGGCTTCAAACCCTAAGCCCTAAACCCTGAACCCTCAACCCTAAACCCTAGTAGAGTTTAGGGTTTAGGTATAAGGATTAGCATTTAGGGCTTAGGGAGAATTATTACCCCAATCATGGAGAAACACATGGAAAAGAAAAGGAACGTTAAATATAAACTGGGGCTATAGGGAGTTTCAAAGGGGTTCTGTAATGCAGAAGCATGAATATTACGAACATGGTGGTCCCAGATTTCTTGCATCATTCTGCTCTCCTCAAATGGACTTTGCAATATGATTGGTAAGTATTTAGGCCCTTAGAATACACAGTAGGCTTCAGGGTTTCGAGCGTAGTGTTTAGGGGTCAGGGTCGAGGGCTTAGGGTTTAGAGTCTAGGGTTTAAGATCTAGGGCTTAGGGTTTAGGGCCTACGGTTTAGCGTTTAGGGCTTAGGGTTCGGGGCTGGCGTTTTGGGCTTTAGGATGCAGAGCTTCCAGTCTTGCATATTTGAAAAGGTCCGTTGTTGTCGCCAGCACGATGCCATTGCGTAGTATCAAAGCACAGCCATACGGATGTTTAAAGGGGAGCCTGCTTAGTCACTGCTATGGAACTCAGCATATACTTTGTGTTGGGTGGGAGGCGACTAGCATGATCCTCCTTCTGAATCCGCTGATCCTCCTCTATCTGTCGTCTCCTTGTTGCCTCTCTAGGAGGATATACAGTTGTGATGACTTTCTACAACTACGAGTACTCGTGCAGATCTTTGTAGTTGCCATTTGTATCCGTACTAGAAGCAAGTATGCTGATTTCCAGCCGCAGCATGGCCACCATCATGTTGTGGCCGTCTTCATCACCCTTGCAACTACGACAGAGATGCTCGCAGCCGATGTGAATCGAGTGTTCGGAGCCCTTCGCCCTCAACCCTATATCCTAAACCCTGACGGCAAGACGAACAAGCGTGCAGCATGCTCTTGTTTTGTCAGGCTTCCGCCTTCGAAGCATTAGAGAGGGACTTCCAGGACCGGATTTTGTGTGAGTTTGAGTCGAAGATGCTATGGTCTACGCGTTTAAAGTTCAGAGTTTCACGCTATTGAGGGGTTGGTTTTTTCGTTCCGAGTTCTGGGCGCTTCACATGGGGCAAAGTTCTCAGTCCTAAACCAGCGACGTTGACCAGCGACATGCGGGGGTTTTGAAAAAGCTGTTCCTTTTATTTGGGGGATCCTTGTAGAAGCCACCGTGGGCTAGGGGACCCTACTTGGAGGGTCAGGGGACTTAATAAGTAGGTTAATAACCCCTATAACCCATATAGTAACCCTAAATATCACCATCATTAACCTACTTACTAAGTCCCCCTGACCCTCCGAGTAGTGCCGACATCTAGACTCTACTGGGCTCACGCTCCTGAGGAGATTCTCCAAGAACTCGTTGGCGACAAGTCTCTGGAGCATTTTCGCAACGAGTGCTCCAGGGCAATGGAACAGGGCTCGAGTTTCCGGGCTTGCTCTCAGGATCTGGATATATACCCACAGCAAGCCCGCGCAGTCTAAAAAATGTTTCGGATCATGCCTTTGACGCGCGCGCGCGGGTGTGTGTGTGTGTGTGTGTGTGTGTGTGGGCACTCACGGCACTGTTCAACCCCAGGCCCCTGGCAACACAGATGATGAGAGGGCTACCCTGTATTCCTGGGTTGCTGTTGAAGAACTTCAACTTAGGTACCGTAATATGGGAGACTGTCAAGATTATGGTCCCTTTTTGGGCCCCTATTATAATACGGGGCCTAATACGGGGCCTAATTTAGGGGACCCAAACAGGGACCAGAATTTTGACAATCTCCCATATAGGCATGTAGTGAGTGATGAGGGTTCCTTCTTCTAGTAACTTTGATTAAGTTCCTTAACAGCAACTCAGATTCGTCAGGTACGAGAAGTTGCACCGCGCGTTGAAGAAGTCGCACGAAAGCGAGTGCGGGTTCTCAGGATGTACCATCCAAGCCTGAACAATTATGTATTTTGTGCCCTTACAAACCTTAGATACAAATTGTACAAATGTACCTTTAAAACCCCGAAGGTGCATTGTACTATGGTTACCTAAGGAATAGAAGAGAAAATGTGCAGTATGGTCTTCATGGCAGATTTCACAGCCAGGTTTGACTTGTGTTGTTATGGGATGAAGGCATGGATCCGAGAATAATCCACGCATGGCAGCAAGAGCTTCTGTAGGGCTTTCTAGGGGTCAGTGAAGCTAGCCTACTTGGAGGGTGAGGGGGACTTAGTAAGTAGGTGAATAGCGGGGATATTTAGGGTTACTATATGGGTTATAGGGGTTATTAAGCTACCTACTAAGTCCCCCTGACTCTCCAAGTAAGTGTTGAGACCTCATCTTTCAGCATCCAACTCATGCTTTGTTTTTTTGCCTAAACCCTAAACCCTAAACCACATCTGCCTCATGCTTGCCGAGGAAGCACCTCATCAAAAAGTGCAGGGAGCTGAACGCTGAAATTGTGCAGAACGCCGTCAAGGTTGGCATCATTATACCCAGCTGCTCCTTCCTGCAGGGTACTAGCTTCAAACTTGACAGCCCCCAATAATTCTGAGTGTGAACAACACAGTACCATGGAGATCCTGGTGTTCAGAGACTTTTTTAGTTACATGCTGTGTGGTTGAAGACACAAGCAGCCCGTGAGCCCAAGTTCTTAGCCTCCAATGGAAGAGCACACATTGATGGATTGATGGACCAGCCCGATGCATACATCTCTGACCGTAAGTGCAGGTGTCGGCGGCGTATTTTCTGGCATTTGCCTGCGTAGATCTCTGCATTCCCAGAGTCTAGCAAGCCGTAGTATCCAATCCCAGCACTACGAAAAAAAACGTTGCTCCCATCAATGGCTCAAGTTCTGCGCTTCTGTAGCCCATCTGCCTCTGTGCCCAGCACTACCGGCCTCGAGGACTTTTTCAGCACCTGGGTTGTATCTTAAATGGGGGTTCAGGGTTTAGGGTCTAAACTCCTAGCATCCCCTTTAATAATGGGTACTGTGCTGGCCTTTGGTTAGCTGGGAATGAAGGAATGGACAAGAAAATGGAAATTACAATAATAGGTTATACAGGGATTACGTCAAGGATCCATTCCTTCATTCCGAGCCAACCAAAGGCCAGTGTAGTAGTTTATTTGCCGGTCTCGTGCAATAATGGTGGAGAACCAAAAGGAAAAGCGAATGGACAACCAAGTGAAAAAGAAATTGAAACTGGGATTGTGTCGTACATAAATGCTTGATACGGGATACTAGCCTCCTTATAATGTAGGGTAAGCAAGATTCCTTCCTCCGTTTGGTAGTGGCATTCTTGTTGGAGAATGTAATCTTGCTTGCTTCAGCCGTCAGAAAGCAACACTGCTCATCCGGGCTGTGATGTCTCTACTGTCCTTGCGTCCAGGGGATGTTTGCCAGCTGTTTTTCCCTTATCGTGCTTTATAGGGAACATGACCAGCACTGTGCCACCGCCGATACCAACTACAACTGCCGCCGCCTGCTGCCGTAGCTGCCCCCCGCTGCCGTCACTACCGCCACCGCCAACGTCAGCAGCTGCTATTGGTACCACCTAAACCCTAAACCTGAATAACAACAGTAGCACCAATCATAATACCACTAACAAAAATAACAATAGAAATAACAATAACAGTTATAGTAATACTAGTGCTACTAACCATAATCAGGATAACTCATGAGTTCTACGAGCCCCGTCGAGGTATGACCTCGGCTGAGAAGACGCGTGTGGCGCTTGTGGGCCTGGGCCGCGCCGGGCACTTCCACCTGCAGTCCCTGGTGCCCTGGGAGCGTAGTTGAGGGGTTACATGGGAAGTGTACTGATTTTGTATCTACATACCTAGACCCTCCATCTCCCCCCAGTATACCCTAAGTACCCACTATTAGGGACCATATACCCCTATTTAAGGGTACAAGAAAAGTCCTGGTACACATTTTTGGTGAGGGGTTCTAGTGGGTGAAAGTTAGGGATTAGGATCTAAGATTGGGGCCGCGAGGTGTTAAGGACGTGGTTTTGCCTTGATCGAGGTGCAGCTGCCACACATGGTACAGCTGGCTTGGGATTCTTGGGAGCAAGATGGACGTCAGAGCACATGTCAGTAACCCTAGTTTCATGCAAGCCAGACCCCTGATGAATAAACCCCCTCCCCTTAATAGAGATTATTTAGGTGGACCCCCCCCCACCCAGTAATAGTGACTATAAGGGATAATATGGATAATATTAGGGTCCTACTATATTCCTATTATAGCCACTTTTACAGGGTGGGGGGTCCTCCTAAGAGATTATAATCAATCTGGTGTTCTGATGCTTCTCTCCCTACCGTAACCCCTATATATACCCTATTATAACGTAATAGTTTCCATTTCATTTTCCATTATCCCTATATAACCCCAATATATACCCCATAATCCCTATATAACCCCTATATGAACCCCTATGATGCCTGTAGTTTCCATATTCTTTTCCATTATCCCCTATAGAACCCCAATACACTCCCTTGTTCCCTACAACCTGCCGGCCTCAGGTTGTGGACATCGACGAAGAGAAGGCCCAGCGAATTGCCGCAGAACAGGGCTGCCGCTGGTCTAACCAGCCGCTGGGCTCTCGCGGTTAGGGTTTAGGGTTTAGTGTTTAGGGGATTTTGAGGTGAGCCAGGCCGCGTAGGTCTCAAAGGAGTCAGAAACAACACTGACGCCATCACTGTTTCGGCGTGCTACCTTGGTATGTTGGTCTCTCGGTTGCTGGTTACTTGAGTCTTTGGCTACCTTCCGAGGGCAGTATGGAGCGTGGTTGTTGAGGCTCCCCCAAAGCTGCCTCAGCTATTCTCAGGAACCTTCCTGTTTAGGTCTTTGGGTTTTGGATGTGGCTAGAAGTGTGGATTCAAGAGCAACTGGGGCATCTGGCTCCTTTTGAATAGAGCTGGAAAGGATTTTCTACACTGCGAATCGTGTCTCCCAAGTTTCACTAAGCTTGTTTCGCTGACTCTGCTGTTGATGGAGGAAAAGCTGCACTGTGTAGGATACCTCAATCATGGCAATGTTGGAGATTCGGGGCGCCTACTTGGAGGGTCAGGGGGACTTAGTAAGTAGCTTAATACTTGGGATACTTAGGGTTACTACATGGGTTATAGGGGTTATTAACCTACTTACTAAGCCCCCCTGACCCTCCAAGTAGGGTGGTGCAGGATTGCGTTTATCAACGGTACGGACATGGCGAAATCTCCTGGAAAGACTCACCCTAAACGGGGACGAATGGAGCCTCGCGATGGGAACCTCTTTAACATCCAGTGTTGTGCAGAGATGTGGCGTTCCAAACAAAGCAGGATCGCCTTTGTGGGGTGCCTCTTATAAGGATACATTGGGGCCTATCTCGCAGCCGCGGATTTATGCAAAATCCTAAACCTACCATATCCAAGGCTGGGAGAGGCCTTGGCGGATGTGGACGCGGTGATCGTGGCCTCCGCGACGGACACGCATTTCCCCTACATCATGGAGTCCCTGCGTGCCGACAAGGCAGGCCGCCAGAAGTGCCGGGAAGTGATACGTCTGGAGTGAAAGCTCTTTGACCAATAAGTCTGAATCATGTGTTCAAAGCCCGAAGCCACTTTATGTCCACGTTCTCCTATCATTTCAGGTGTAAGCTGCTGTTGAAGCCTCAGCCCCGTGCAATCTGCCACCTGTACTTTGAGGCTGTCCTGGCTGAGAAGCCCATTTCGCATGAGTTGCACGAGGCACCTACTACGTGGGTTCGATTCGTTCCATTATTGCTGAATTGGTTGTGCGCCAGTTCGGGTGGTTCATGAAGCCCGAAAATCCGGGCGCCAAAGAAGTCACCGTAGTACCTAGCGCTTGTACTAGTATTGTAGTGGTAGTAGTGAAATCGTTAGAGTAATACGCACAGTGATCCACAGTATTACTAATACTAAGCTAGGAATAATAGTGATCTTCAGTAATGATGACAAGCAAGCTCCGTGCAGGTGATCGAAGCCGTGGAATTGGCGAAGGCCAAAAACCTTGCCTTTGTTTGCGGCTACCAGCGCCGTGCGGATCGGCATTTCCGGGCACTGAAGCAGCAGCTGGACGCCGGTGCCGTAGGCAGGAAGTTTGAGGGGGTACAAGTCTTTTGAGAACTGCAGGGGGTCTGCTACAAATTGCGGGCTTATGCTGTGATTGTACGTCATTATACGGAGTTGAGGCCTGTGCATGCCCACAAGTTAGGGTCCCACGTTTTTCACACACATCTAAGATCGCACAATTCTGAGTGGGGCATGTGGAGCAAGAGGCTTGCTCAGGGTTTGGACTTTCAAGAGTTTGAGGGCTGCGGGAGAATGTGAACAGCAAGACTCGCGTACATCTCGCACTCCCTTATGATTGCATCCGGCCCCGGAGGCAAGATGAAGGTGGTGAAGACCTGCAGCCGCGACAACCCTCTGCCGCCCATGGAGTACCTGCGCACCAGCGGCGGCATCTTCCATGACATGTTGATCCACGACTTCGACATGTTGGACTTCCTGAGCAACGGCGAGGTGCCGGAGTCGGTGACGGCCGTGGGGCACTGCTACAACCCAGAGATCAAGGAGATGCAGGACATCGACACCTGCGCGGTTATGTTCAAGTACAGCAATGGCATGCTGGCCATGGTGGACACCAGCCGGGACGCATCGTACGGCTACGACCAGCGCATCGAGGTCTTCGGCGAGAAGGGAATGCTCACGGCCCACAACGAGCTGACGAGCACTGTAGAGCTCGCAACCTCCAAAGGCCACCTGCGGCCCCCAGCCATGTATAGCTTCCCTCAGCGCTACCTGCAGGCGTACCGCTCCGAGCTTACGGAGTTCGTTGAGCTGGTACGTGCCGGCCGCGACAGCGAGGCGCACGCCGTGGAGCAGAAGGCCATGTTGCGGCACCCCAGTGTGGTGCGTGCCACCATGGCCGCGGAGCTGTCCTGGAAGCTGGGCCGCACGGTGAAGCTTTCTGAAGTGGAGGTGGAAGAGCCACAGGGCTTGCCGGCTAAGAACATGTTCGGCGACAGCTTCCGCAACTACCAGAACTCCGAGCGCCAGGAGAAGGTGGCTGCCACCTATGGCCTCATGCACAAGAACCAGACTGTGGAGTTTGGGCGGGAGCAGCGAGAGAAGTGGCTGAAGTTCAACAAGGGCGAGTTCACGGTCATGGAGGTGATTACCATGCTGGACGAACTCGTGGACGATTCGGACCCGGATGTGGACATCCCAAACAGCATCCATGACTTCCAGACTGC